CTTTCCCCCTCCAGTTTCCCTCAAAATGTAATATGCCATTTTAGCCTGGGGAAGCACATCCATGGGGAGAATGTCCATCCATTTCATCTCTACCAGGGACATTAAGCCCCACTGGAAACAGTGCAGTTTCTTCTGAGTCATCATGTACAGGATTGTGCTGTTTGTTCCGTGTTTGTGGTATAATACTTTTTACAGCCTGCACACAGATTGGGATGCTGTTGCATGCATCTAATTCCTGATCTGTACGCTAGCAATCCATCGGTCTTTCTGTGCACATAAGGACAGAGTGGGAGATAATATGAGACCTGACACATGTTTTTAATGGAACGGCGCGTGCATGGTCGCCTCCTGTGAGGAGTTCTCGGCTCTAAAGTACTAGAAAGCTGTTGTAGCTCTGCTCTCCCCGAGTCCTATTGTATGTACGTCTCTCCTCTTGTCATAACACCACCTCTGAAACATTCACACAGCCTAGTCCCTTTTGCAGAACATTTACAGGGTGGAATTTTGAAACGTTAAAAGACTGTTTAAGCAATGTCAGCTGCCTGACTCGTTTCACAAAAGGAAGGAAGCTCTCAAGGAGGAAGTAAATGATAATGTCATATCCTGATGTCTTTTGCCCCTTGAATTCTGAGTGGTCCCATATGGCTTTTGCATTTCCCCCCTTTTGTTTCTCTCCCTCCACACGTGCCCCCCTTTGAAAAAAGGGGGTTGAGCCTCACACTGCATTCACAACAGAGAGTCAGCCTTGAATTTAGTCCTTAAAATGTCTGTGTGTGTGTGTGTGTGTGTGCGCGCACGCGTGCGTGTGTTTTAAGAAAGAAAGAATGCGAGAGAAAGAACCAAGTTGCCAATGTACAGTCTGGATACTACAGTGAACTAGAAAAGAGATCCTAATCACAACAGAACATTATGCAGAAGCATAAATCATTTTTTTTAAAGTGTCTTAAATATAATAAAAAGAATAATTAAGAATCAAATGGCCCACTATCTTGACAGTTTAATGATGCCATGAAAGACGGAGAAAGTCTGGCTTTTACTACTTTCTCTTTAAAAAGAAAAAAATCATAATCATTGAAGTTTACTTCCGTTCACACTTTTCATGCACACACACAAACACACTTGTGCTTGTCTGCTACAGAAGGCCTTTGGTATGTGCTGCTGTGTATGAACGTGCCACCGAGAATTGCAGAGTTGGAAAGGACGCCAAAGGACATCTAGTCTAACCCCCTGCAAAGCAGGAATCTCAACCTCCTCTTCAGTCCCTTACTTCAGCCTTTGCCCATTCACTGGAGGGATGACTCCTAAGTTGGGTGCTGTGATTTCCAATTTGGCTTGAGACCTGGTGGTTCTCAATGAAACATTGCCTAGAAGAAATGTGGGTACCCTCATCAGAAACACACACAATAAAAGGATTTCATCTCTCTGTCCTTCTAAGCCTACTACTAAAAAAAAAATCTGGTTAGTTCATAAATTTTTCAAACTAACAAACCAAAACATTTCCACCTCTGCTTATCTGAATGGTTTTAACCGAGGTATAAACTTTTCTCCATTTTTCCCCCCAAAGGCGCTAAATGTCCGAAGCATCAAATGAAACAAATGTCAGGATCATTTGCTTCCTTCACTGAAACGAAGAGGGCAAACTCTGTGGACAACCTCCATGTACACTATGAAAATCCCATGCCTGATAGCAGGTCACTTTGCCATTTAAAATGCTAGGGCTAATTTAGAAAATGGAATAATGGCCACTCCTTGCCACATGGTTCCGAATATTTGACCTGCTCTTGTTACCCTCGTTGTCTGAGGTGAGGTGGTCCTCTCTGTTGACCATCCTCCCCAGGGAAACTCAATTGGCTCATTTTCTTCTAACCTGTAGGTGCTAGGAATACTGTTTAATGATCTCCGCCAACAATTTCTAGACCATCTACGTATTCCAACATGGAAACCAGAGACAGAGGTTATATGCTTCTTATTACAGGGGAGAGACCAGGAGCTCACCAAGACGGTAGATAAGTTCCTCTATTTGATTTTCTGTCACCAAAGTACGCTACAGGATCTTGCCCTTGCTGGAGATCCACAGAGATGAAATAGATTGCTCGGCTCTTCTTCCCTTTGGCAAATGACTGTACTGTTGAAATGGCAAAGAGATCGCTCTGGCCTATTTATTCTGAATGTTTGTATGTGATGCCAATAAAGATTTGATGGTGGTGGTGATGATGATGATGATGAATACTGTTTACTACTTGTAAATTTTTAAGGTTGAAAGATGGGAAAAATCTTTTTTATAAACCTATATATAGACACACACACACACACACACACATATACAGTGGTACCTTGGGTTACATACACTTCAGGTTACATACGCTTCAGGTTACAGACTCTGCTAACCCAGAAATAGTGCTTCAGGTTAAGAACTTTGCTTCAGGTTGAGAACAGAAATCGTGCTCCGGTGGCGCAGTGGCAGTGGGAGGCCCCATTAGCTAAAGTGGTGCTTCAGGTTAAGAACAGTCTCAGGTTAAGTACAGACCTCCGGAATGAATTAACCCGAGGTACCACTGTATGTGTGTGTGTGTGTGTGTGTGTGTGTATATATCTGCAACCATTAGCGTAAGGTCTGTCAACACTACTCTAATATGATTTTCAGCATGTTCGGGCAGCAAGCATTCTTCATCTGATTCTGTCCTCTGAGGCCCACCGCTGCATGTAGTGGTGACATGAGGACAGGCCTTCTCAGTGGTGGCTCCCTAGTTGTGGAATGCTCTCCCCAGGGAGGCACCCTAGCACCATCACGGTGTGTCTTTGGGCATTAAGTGAAAACATTTTTATTCACTCAGGCCTTCGGATCTTAATTTTCTGCTTATCTTTCAGTGAAGTTGTGTCAGATTTCCTCTTTCTTGCTTTTATGTCTGTTTTCAATCCTTGTGTTTGTAAATCACTTGGAGTTCGTTTTTGAAGTGGGAGGGGGGAATGGACAAATAAATATAAGGATAAATAATTGAGAATAATAGTAAGACATAGCTCACCTGGTTCTAAACACGCATGCACTGACACAAGATTTGTGATTGGACTTTAGCAAATATAAATTGGTTTAAACCAACCCTTTTCTAAAAATTATTTTGTGCTATGAATTCTATTATTAGGAAACCAAATGGACAGTCCCTTCCACTACCCCCAATCTCTTATCTGAATCAAGTGGTGCATCCAGCCATCAAGACGGCACTCGGATGAGCACCCCGGTCCAGATGTGCACCTGCATCTGTCCTGTGCCTGAGATCCTTTCTCCCTGAGCACATCTATCTTGCTGCATAGGGACCCAGGTGATTTTCTGGTGCTGTGGATTGTCCTTAGCACCACGACCGCAGAACCGAAATGTAATGTTTTGGTTTTGTGTTTTTTTTAAAAAAAACTTACAGCAGAGAATATTGCTTGTTTCTGGATCTTTTCAAAAACAGAATAGACCACAATTATTTTTAACAATGGGCTTTCTGTGTTGTCAACAATGTGATATTTGTGTGCGTTAACAATAAGCAAACAACATAATATATCAATGCTTTCTAAAAAGACATATCAATTGTAAGGGCTGAGTTGCTTTTCTAAAATAAAATAAAAAGACTCAATATATGGGGCACGTCCCAGTTTCTCCTATAGCACCTGGTGATGTACTTTTGAAAAGTTTTGGGTTAAAGCATGACTTTAATGTAAGGTTAGGGCTTATCCAGTCTGCTCCCAGTTTTCCAGCAGAATTTGAGTGGTGGTCTAATAGAAAAACACTGTGGTAAAGTACTTATTGATGGTGGGCAGAGGAGAATCCTTTTTTATAGCATGATATCCCATCCCTTACTAAGAAGAAGAAGAGGAGTTTGGATTTGATATCCTGCTTTATCACTACCCGAAGGAGTCTCAAAGCGGCTAACATTCTCCTTTCCCTTCCTCCCCCACAACAAACACTCTGTGAGGTGAGTGGGGCTGAGAGACTTCAGAGAAGCGTGACTAGCCCAAGGTCACCCAGCAGCTGCATGTGGAGGAGCGGAGACGCGAACCCAGTTCCCCAGATTGCAAGACTACTGCTCTTAACCACTACACCACACTGGCTCTCAAGGATGCAGTCCTAGGAGTAAGCCCCACTGAACTCAGTAGGACTTACTTCTGAGTAGATACGTCTACGACTCTGCTGTGAATTGCTCAAAATAATTATATCGTAAATACTTTAAACCAGGCTTTGCATATGGTGCCCTGAGACATTTTGGGCTGCCCATCAGCTTCAGCCAGCACAAAACACCTCGAGGGCACCAGGTTGCTGAAAGCTATATTAAAACGATAGATTGGCAAAGCCTGCGTTAAAAACAACAACAAAAGCTGGGTTCCAAAAGGCAACAGAAATTCAGTTTACACTCTGAGGTTCTCTTCAAATAAAAAATAATCTCCTATGTAACAAAGCATTCTTGGTTGCACCGTAACTCTTCCTAGAAAGGGTCTGCTCAATTCTCCATGTTATCCAAAAGAAATACAAATAAGGATTATTGATTAGATCTTATATTGGCATCCTTTGACACGGATGATTTATATAAGGCAGATGTGACTAGGCCTCTAAGCCTCCAGAGCTTGATTCCAATGCACATCAGCCCAAAGGCATCATGGAAGGATGGGAGCCGTTGTCTAATATCTGGGGGTGTCAGAGTTTAAAGGTAAGAGATGTATTTCTTTGTGACTTATTGAGAACCATTTAGAATAGCACCCCGTTCTCTGAAAAAATGCTTCCATATGTAAATCACACAGATCTTACCAGTGACACAACTATCTATGTCATCTACTCCTGAAGACTTGACTCAACAACCGGCTTCCTTCAACCCCCTGCTACAAGAAGAATGTGGCAGGGACATAAATTCAGCATTTTAACCCGTTGTATTTTGCTGCCATCTGGTGGCTTATCCAAATCACTGCACTGCTGAGACCAATTAAGGCAAAAAATAATAATCTTTGCAGCGTTTTAATAAACACAAACAAGAGTTTGTGGACCATTTTAAGTGTTGCCTTTATTGCAAGAGTTAGATCTGGCATTTAATATGGACCCGTGTGAACGCTCTCTCTTCTGCTTTGACTCCTGCCACCGTGATCAATGATGTCATGTTATTATTGCCAGTCCTGGTTTGATTTCTGCTTGATGAACCGGAGAGATAAGTAGTATAAAACCAAGAAGGTGGTGGAAATACTGACCAAGATGAGGTAAATTGCGTAGTGGGGCTGGAGGTCTAAATCCAGAGACTGGAGTACCTGTAAGTCAATCAAATTCCAATTAAATCAATCAGTTTGAATTCCAGTTAAATAAATTGTAATTGTTTACTCATAAGTGGGTCTCAATCAATTAATTAAATATCTAAATGTGCATGCAAGCGAAACAGTAGATCTGAAGATGAAGCCTTTATTTGTTCTGTGAGGAGTATGTCTGTATTACAGCTCAATGGTAGAGCATCTGCTTTGCATATAGAAGATCTCAGGTCCAGTCTCCAGATTTGTCCCCGGTCGAAAATCTTGGAGAGCTTCTATGAGGCAGCATAGACAATACTGAGCTAGATGGATCAATGGTCTGAGTTGGTATAAGTTGGTATAAACACCTTTGCTCTTTGGTACTTGTAGAACTCAGCAGGGAGGAGGATGTGGAGAAAAGTAGAATTAGTTGCCTTTGCTCTGGCGCCATCCACTGTTGGCCTCCTGCCTTACGCCCTACCAGTCTCAATAGACCACAATCACTACTGAATTAAATGCTGCCTCGTCCTGTTTTAAATTTTCTTCCATATACATTCCAGGAAAGAAGCAAACCCATTCTCCTTTTGACAAAAAAAAGAAGATCATGGCCACTGGTCCCATCACCTCCTGGCAAATAGAAGGGGAAGAAATGGAGGCAGTGAGAGATTTTACTTTCTTGGGCTCCATGATCACTGCAGATGGTGACAGCAGCCACGAAATTAAAAGACGCCTGCTTCTTGGGAGAAGGGCAATGACAGGCCTAGACAGCATCTTGAGAAGTAGAGACGTCACCTTGCCAACAAAGGTCCGTATAGTTAAAGCCATGGTTTTCCCAGTAGTGATGTATGGAAGTGAGAGCTGGACCATAAAGAAGGCTGATCGCCGAAGAATTGATGCTTTTGAATTATGGTGCTGGAGAAGACTCTTGAGAGTCCCATGGACTGCAAGAAGATCAAACGCGTCCATTCTTAAGGAAATCAGTCCTGAGTGCTCACTGGAAGGACAGATCATGAAGCTGAGGCTCCAGTACTTTGGCCACCTCATGAGAAGAGAAGACTCCCTGGAGAAGACACTGATGCTGGGAAAGATGGAGGGCACAAGGAGAAGGGGGCGACAGAGGACGAGATGGTTGGATAGTGTTTTCGAGGTTACCAGCATGAGTTTGACCAAACTGTGGGAGGTAGTGGAGGACAGAGGTGCCTGGCGTGCTCTGGTCCATGGGGTCACGAAGAGTCGGACACGACTAAACGACTAAACAACAACAACAACAACAAAATTCATGAGAAATGTTACCTAGAAAGAAGTGACTTACTAGTTTTCCAGGAACTGGATAGGTGATATTGCCAAAAGTCATCGGGTAAGTGCGTCCTCTAAATTGAACTTGCATTACTCCTTCAAAACTCCACCTGACGAAAGATACTTTGGAAATCCAAGTTGGAACTGGAAAAAGAGGGAAGCAAAGGGAGCCTAATTCAACACAGATCATGGACCCAAAGAAACAAGAACTTTGCCCGAAATTGCACAAGAGCGTGGTGCCCAAAATGGCTACCGTGCTCTCGCAGAAAAAACAGGATGTCCCGGTTTTTTTCGGTGCAGTTGATGGGTATGCTAGCATGTGACCCCCAGAAAGTTGTCCAGAAGGGAATAATAATAATTTATTACTTGTACCCCATCCATCTTTTGCCCCAGTCACTCTGGGTGGCTGCCAACAGAATATAAAAGACAATGGAACACCAGAAAGCTTCCTGATACAGGCCTGCCTTCAGATATCTACGGAAAGACGTATAAATGCTTAAATGGTTTTCCACCCGTGAAATATGCCATTCCATTGCTTTGTCTTCTTCTGTGCATGTAGCTTTCTGCTTGTCGGGTCCCTGGTGTTTCCAGCTTACCTGTCCATAGGTTTTCCAAGCTTATGAAGAAGCCTCCGCTCATCAAAAACATTGTGTACAGAATATTGGCAACGAAGGCCGAGATATGAAATGTTGGCAGCATTGCAGACATCCACATCGCCATGGTCCGGGCGCTGAAAGTGACTAGCATAAGCAGCAGCAGCATAAGGAAGAAACATTCCGGTTCCGGACGGAGGTTTGCTAGCCAGTAGGTAGGAACCCCATAAACTATCATTAGGAAGAACTGTTCTGGAAGTTCTCCTAAAACCTGTTTGAGAAAGGAAACACCATTGACCTTGAGGGGAACGCCCACCAATTTATTCCATATCTGAGGCCAAAAAAAAAAAAAAGTGACATAAATGGGCTATTGTTTCTCTAACTTTCTAATGCTGGATTTTGATGGGACAGTGGAGGGGGAACACATGGAAGAGAGGTCCTGGCATTTTACTTTTTTCAGATCAGGAGAACTGCCATCATCTGCCAGGGTAGTGCCAGGATAATGGGTGGATTTTCCATGTGGCAAGTGTAAGAGCTGGTCAAGAGACTGCTGTTGTTTCCTTTTTTTTTTTGAACAGATCAGCAAAGGAGAAATTAGAGACAGAGGAAAAAAATTAAGTGAGGGCTAGGTACTTCTTTTCTTTGCTGAGGTTCCTGCTTGCGCCTTAAAAGGTAACACACCAGGCTTTTTTCAGCCAGAACTTGCCGGAACACCTCACAGATGGGTGCCATTGCCATTATAAGAGAACAAGGGAGGTGTTCATGGTGAGTTCCGGCACCTCTTTTTCTAGAAAAATAGCACTGGTAACACATATATTGCAAGACTGTTTAAAAGCTGCATTTCAGCTGGCTAAAGATCATTTGTTAAAGCTCAAAGTGTTTTACAATGTGAATTGATTCTATATGCACCTTTTTCTGTGACTGTCCCCTGATCCTAATTAATTGGGTATTATCCTACATACTGCTGCTCTTTCAAACGGCGGGGGCAGGAGGGGGTTGCATTTATGTATTTAGTTATATGGATCAGCACAGCTGATTGCATTTTGGGACTCTTCTTTGGGACACTAACAAAACATTAACAAAACAAAACAGAACAGAACAGAACACTGTCCTTACAGCACAACATCAACCCATTACTGGCTTTCATTCTACAATTAATCATCATCTTTCCTAGAGTTAATAGTTCAGTGCTTCTCAAATGGTGGTCCATGGCTCCCTATGTCCCAGAAGCATTTCCAAGAGATGAGAGGGGATTGGAAGCCATCTTGCTACAACAGAAGCCAATTACCTTGGCAGAGAAATATGGGCTCACAGGATACAGCCCATCTTCAAAATCCTGATACAGCACAGCTTTTTCAGAATGGCCTGTAGCAGAAATAAACCATTGTGTTTCTTGTTAGAATAGCAGGGTGCCATTTTTATTTTTATTTTTTTAACATTGCTATTGCTTTCTGAATTTTTAAAACCTCTTAAAAAACTTCTTTTTCAAACGTCTTTTTAAAAAATTTAAAACCTAAAAAAACCAACTCATCTAAAACGCTGTAAAACTTACATTTTGTTACAGTTTCAACAACCACAAGGTAAGGAATCAGAGCTCCTAGCATAAACAGAAGTCCCGATACATCCGGAATAGACAGACTTTTCTCATGACCATAATATAGGAATCCCATTAACAATGACATTAGAAGAGCCTCAAATCCACGGATCAGCAATGCTGAGAGATCTCGGAAATCATTGGAGATCTGGCGGCTACAAAAAGAAATAGCACTATCAACTCTGAGCCTAAATTATCTCCTCACTTCAGGATGGAGAACATATCTATGGCTACCACAATGAACGATGCCCACCTTAGATGCCTTGGGGAGGCCTCTGCTGTCTGACAGCATGATTAATAGGTTAGGTTTGTGCTTTTGGACCTAAATAGACTCCACCTGTATTTCTAGCTACTGCAACCAACCAGATCCCTATGATCTTGGCCCTAGGACACAAGGTGAGGACCATTCATCCATATCCATAACTGACAATGCCATCAATCTTGGAGGAAGTGTACATTAACCATGTTAGATGGTCATGTCTGATACTGATATAGTGCAGGAATTAAATAGGTAAGAGCCTTCTCTGCAGTGGCTCCCCATCTATGGAATGCTCTCCCCAGGGAAGTTCGCGTGGTGCCTTGATTATACACCTTTAGGCGCCAGGCAAAAGTGTTCCTTTTTAACCAGGCTTTTGGTTGATCTTATTGACACCCAACACCCTTTTAGAATGTGGCTTTTTGGGGGTTGGCTATTGGGTTATTGCTTTTGGTTTGATTTTATATGTTGTGGTCTTGTTGTGAACCGCCCTGAGACCTCCGGGTATAGGGCAGTGTATAAGTTGAAATAATAATAATAATAATAATAATAATAATAATAATAATAATCCAGTCTGATATTTGCAATCTTACTGGGGCTTGAAACAACATTACCTTAGCAAAACAGTGAACTGCTGTAACCATCCTGGCAACTGATCGGCCGAATGAGAGTTCACAGTAATTTTCTCCTCCAAAATGAACATAGTAGAGCTGTCAAAAATGGACAGAAATGGGAGATGGGATTATTCTGAAACCAATTTCTTTGGTTCCTTGATATACCGCCATCAAAGCTCTTTACGGCTCTTGTTTTTACCTCTGTGCAGATACAGTGACCATGTTGTCTCTTGGTTTGCTTTTCCATAAGCGGTCATCCACGTTTTTAATGTTTTCATGAAACATGGCAGCAAGTGAGCGAGCCCTTTGCCTGCTTTCCATCTCCTTTTCTTCACTCTGCCTCTCGATGCTGATCAAATCAACTGTAAGACAGGATCCTGAGTAAGATCATATAACCCACACATGCTGTTCAGCGTTTTCAGTTTCGTATCTGAATTTACACTTATCTTTTCAGAGGTAATTGAATCCTATCGTCCAATTCTGTTTAAATTCCCTGCCTGTCATTTAGGATTGTACTTCATGTGTCTAATGAAGTGCCCACTGATAATGGCATCCCTGATAGGTGACCATCCAGAAACACTAAGATCCTGCTGGATCAAGCCAGTGGTCCATCAAATCCTGTTCTCACAGTTGCCACCCAGATATCTATGGGAAGCCTGCAAGTGGGACACCTGGTATTCGGAAGCTTACTCCCTTCTGCTGTGGAGACTGATGCAAATAATTCATCCAGCGTCTCTGCAATCTCCTCGTCCTCCTTTAGCATACATTAGACTGCCTTGTCATCCAAGGGTCTAACAGCCTCCCTAGCTGCTCTCCTGCTACTAATAATGTATTTAAAGAACTGATTGTTTGTCTTTACTCTTTTAGCAAACTCTGACAAAGGAGAGGCTGCCAGCTTCTCTTGTAGTCTGTTCCACCCTTGAAGAGGCCATCATGAAATTCTTGGTAAAGTTTAGTCCAGTGGTAGCCAATGTAGTTCATTAGCTGATGCTATAGACTACAGCTCCCATCAGCCTCAGCCAATATAGGACAAGTAAGGATGATGGGGATTGGAATCCACAACTTCTTCAAGGCACTATGTGGTCTACTAGTAGTTTACTCTAATCCCTCTTTAAGATGTGGTATTTGTTTTCTCTATAACTAAACAAGCAGATTATTGGGCGAGAGCACCACTGTTAACCCTAATTCAAGTTTCTCTAAGACAAGGCATAAGCAAACCTCGGCCCTCCAGATGGGACTATCCCCATCATCTATTCCCATCATCCCTGGGACTACAATTCCCATCATCCCTGACCACTGGTCCTGTTAGCTAGGGATGACGGGAATTGTAGTCCCAAACATCTGGAGGGCTGGAGTTTGCCTATGCCTGCTCTAAGAGAGTGATTGTTGCATTGCATAACTGCCTCCCTTTTATCCAACTTGTCCTTCTGTCTCTATCTATCTGTCTTCCAAACTGGTCTGGTGTCAAACTTCAGGGGGTCTTTTGTATGATGCCAGCTATGGGCCTCCACCTTCCCAGCCCTCTGCCCCCCAACCAGGGCAGGCCAAATCCTGCTTGTGGTGGCACAGGGGAACTATAAGTCTATAGATCTACCTGGAATATAGATATTGGAAAAGAAGAAGAAGAAGAAGAAGAGTTTGGATTTGATATCCCGCCTTTCACTCCCTTTAAGGAGTCTCAAAGCGGCTAACATTCTCCTTTCCCTTCCTCCCCCACAACAAACACTCTGTGAGGTGAGTGGGGCTGAGAGACTTCAGAGAAGTGTGACTGGCCCAAGGTCACCCAGCAGCTGCATGTGGAGGAGCGGAGACGCGAACCCGGTTCCCCAGATTACGAGACTACCGCACTTAACAACTACACCAGGGTAACTTAAAATGGCAGGTGAACACAGCAGATGAGAACTGAGCTTGGCTTCCATTCAAATGGTACAGCCGCCTGCCACTGAAAAGCATCTTGCGGGGGCCAGTTGAGAGAGAGGGCAGTGAATAGCAGCACAACTGCTTTGGGACACTGAGAGCCTTTCTTCTGGGGTCCTTGGCCAATACCCGATCTGGCCTATTGCTGGCACCAGGGCTTCCCCCAAATCAAACTTTGGTGTTGTTTTTCTGCCTTTCCCATTGCCACTTCCAAAGGTTGAGGGGAGAGTTTTCTAGGCATTAGCTCCTAATCAGACGACATAATCTGATCATCGCTGGCTATCTGCAAACCTTCAGTTTAAACAAATCATAACTCTCCCAGAAGCACTTATTACACCAACCGTAGAAATCTGCAGGATTGCTGTATGTTGGACAAGGATATCCCATTTGTGTGAAGTATTGGACCATGTCTTGGGCGGCACCAGAGTAGACTGTGAGTCCAGATGTCATCAAGAGAACCAAATCGAAAAGCTGGAAGATATCTGATCTTGGCTGGTGAACTGACAGAAGAACTAATCTATTTCCTCTTGCTAGCCTAGACAGCAGTATTACTAGGTTGTGGGCGGTAAAGCTGTCCAGTCCAGCTGTGGGATCATTGAGTATCAAGATTCCTGCCAAAGAGGAAGGAAAGTTAATTCTGTATCTGATTAGGTTGGTAGCTTTCACCTTCATCCTAAATATGTTCTTACATAGCATGGTGGCCTTGAAGAGGGAAGCTTGCTCTCTTCTGCGCAAACATAATTTAAACCTAAGAAAATGGTCATGGCTGTAAAGCATTATTTTCTTGTGGTGCTATGCACCCTGATCCCACATTCAGCCAGGGCATGGGCGCATACCTCCTAGGCCAAATGGCGGAGGAAGAGGAGTGCGGGGGGAGTGCACCACCACCACCAGCACGATCCCGGTGGGGTGCCATCGCTGCCACGCCCCTGCCGTGCTGGTCACCACGCCCCCGCAGGCAGTGCGCCCTGCCCCCGGGACGTGCACCAGCCCTGCCCCCACCTGCTCTCCATCCCCTGGTGCTGGAGCATGAAGCTCCACCACTGCCTAGGCCCTCACCCCACTGGAAGTTAAACAAATACACTCCTTTCAGTTGCCTGGATAAAACATTGGTGAAAAGATATTTCTGGCCACAAACAACTTTATGATGTGCCCACCTGAAAATCAAAGACCATTTGTAGAGCTACTCATATTTCCCTTGCCCCTGCAGGTATCTGAAAATGCAGAGTAACAAAGACACGGTAAAATGTACTTCACCATGTGGCCAGATGCTACAGACAACCAGTTCCTTATGTGAGTCATACACTTGAAAGTTCAAAGAGAACATTGTGGGTAGGTAGCCACCCATATTCACCCATGGCTATGTCAGCACCCTCCTTTATTCAGCACCCAAACCACAGCCCTGGGAAGGAAGCACAGCAGAGATGCTTTTGGACATTCATACCAGGATTCCATAACAGTTGGACCCCAATGCTCACTCGTCTTCTCTCCCCGCCAGAAACACCACGGATGTATTCGTTCCCTACTATTGTGTCCGCACATTGCCGCAATCTCAGTTCTGCTATAACGTCTTCTACCTGAAGAATGAATGAGAGGACAGTGTTCATAGCAGTACTGTGGAATGCCATTTGCAAATAAACATCATAGAACAGGCACCCCCAAACTCGGCCCTCCAGATGTTCTGGGACTACAACTCCCATCATCCCTAGCTAACAGGGTCAGGGATGATGGGAATTGTAGTCCCAAAACATCTGGAGGGCCGAGTTTGGGGGTGCCTGTTATAGAAGGATCTTGTCCATGGAACGCGCATTGCTGTACATAGACAGGGCTATTTTTCTAGCAAAAGTGGTGCTGGAACTCACTATGAACGCCTCCCTTGTTCTTTTAGAATGGTTACAGTGCCCATCTGAGAGGTGCCGGAACTGAGTTCCAGCTGAAAAAAAGCCCTGGCTGTAGAATACAATGCTATACTCAGGAGTGGCTTGCCGAGAAAGGGTATGGTGGTTGACGCAGTGCAAATGCACCGTGATAACTAAATCCAGCACTCCTACCAGTGTGTTTGCACTGCACTGACTTTTCCACTACCTTGCCTCTCCCTTCCAGTAAGCAAGAGCGACCCACCTCCTGGGAAGCTAGTATAGTAGCTAGCAATCACCTAGCGAGCTGCTTCTGGTTTATATAAAGTTCTGTGCTGAAACACTGTTTTAATTTCGGAAAGATGCCTCCTGAATACTATCTCCATCATGTCCTGCTTACAGAGTTCTCAGAAGGATCTGCCTGACCACTCTGGGAAACAGGAAACTGAACTAGATGGGCTTTTAGTCTGATCCAGTAGTGCTCTCCTTCTGCTTGTAATTTGGGGCAGTATTGGACTGATTAGTTGCACTAGCACAAGGGTGCAATGGGATTTCCTCTCTGCTCTCCTGTATGTGTCCTGCAGAGTCCCCAAATCTTCTGGAGAAGGTTGGAGGGAACTCCAGAACAGATTGGGGGGCACAGGAGAGAATGCTACGTTGCACGGGGATGAATCCTTGCACTAACAGAGTGTTCACCTTGACACTACATTGTATGTAGCCCTTTGTTTCCAGGTAACTGAGAAGCAATGACTGCGGTGCTGAAGAACTGTAGTGTGGAAGCAAGCTTGGAGTTTTTGCCTCAGGCACCAACATTGCTAGGGCCGATCCTGCCCTCTACCCCACACAGCCAGTAGCCATTTGCATTTTAAAGAATCGACTTTTCTATCGAGGCATTTCTTTTCCCATCTATGCCTCTCCAGAGTTAGACAAGCACTTGGCATGACAATGTGCCAATTCATATTTTTCCATCAAAGAGCACAAAACAAAGTAAAATTGCAAGCCATCCACAAAGAGGAGATATTAGGTAAAACATGCTCTATCACTGATTGAAGAAAAGAAGATGAATAATCACATTCAGATTAGCTTTTCTTTATCCAAACAACTCATACAGCCACTTAGCTAATGTTATTAAATACATACTTGACAACTTAATTTTCATTCTAATTACCCTTTTTTCCCTTTGTGAATCTGAAAACATCTTGGGGAGACGCAATTTTGCAATGAACAATAGTGTTTCTCTGACTGTCAGGTTGGGTAGCAGTCTGTCGTCTCGCCGTACGTGGGCAATGCATTTCTTTGCCAGCTGGCGAGTGCAGGGTTTTCCATTTATCAAGATTTCACCTGACGTAATTTTGCCTCCGTGGTCCCTGCAGGTAATCACGTCAAACAAAGACGTCTTTCCGCAAGCTGCAAATATAACAGGTCCAGATGTTAAGTAGCTACGGGAGAACAGTTGCTTCAGGTTCTTCACCCCAAAGCATATATGAATCTAGGGGATTTACTAGATGTAACCAGACAGCCATGTGAATTTCACCCACATTTTCTGATCTGTTCAAATCTAAATTATTTGTACAGAAGGTAGTTAGACTGGCGACAGCTGAATCTTACTTTGACAGTGGTAATGGGAAGTGTTTTCCATGGAACTTGAAGACCCCAGGCTGCCTTAAAGGGCTGTCTGTCCTCCATCTGAGGTAGCTGCCTCACTCTGCTCGATAGTAGGGCCACCCTTGTTTTATTGTCTTTGAAAATATAGCAAACAAATGCTGAGACTGAGCAGATTAAAAAGGGATTTAATTCTTACCAGAGCTCTCTATGAGAGCCAGCATCCGCCCACTTTTGACTTTAAAACTCATATTTTGTATAGCTGCCACATGGGAATCGGAGTCTAGGCCGCACTTCCAAGGAATTTTCAGCTCCGCTAGTTTCTCATACCAGGGGATCTGTGAGGCCATATTAACCTATGAAAGATGAATGGTGTTTTTGTTAAGTAGAAATGCCTGACGTTTGATGATGATGATTTGTCAATTGCTCTAAAAGGCTTTATCAGCTGAAAAGTAAAGTAATAATGCTTCAGATAAAATAAGGGGGTATTCACTGTAATTTCTAACAAGTCTAGAGCTGTGGAGGTCTATTGGACAGTATTTTAATCCACCAATATCTAAATTCAAATCCCAACTCAGTGCTTTTCCAGGTGAAATTTCAGGTGTGATGGTCAGGACTGCAGCCACAGAAATATCCATCATGCTAAATGCTTAACCTTAATTTTATTTTATTAAAAAGCAAGGATGCACTCTTATCTAGCTGTAAGTTCTATTGAATGCAATAAGACTTACTTCTGATGCTCAAGATTGCAGTGTAAGTCTCTAGCTCTTTCCGGAGATATAATACAATTGTTACTAAGAAATAAGCCTGCTTCTACCTTCCAGCATGTTTGCAAGAGCACCGGCATATATTAACCCCCCCCCCCTTTAAAAACACAATCCATTCATTTAGTAGTGTAATGCATTTCAGCTTAGGCTAAAAGGGTTTTTTAAGGTCCCTCCCAGTCCTGTGTTTTATGGTCTCAAGATTGGATTCTGCAGAAACAGACAGTGCTAAAATCATCAGGCCAGTTTTTTCTCTAGTAAGCTGCCTAGAGAGATCTGTTAAGTATCTACTTTGTAATGTAGAGTAATGAGTAGTGAACATAGCCAATACCAATATGTTAAAAGATATATAATTAATACAAATTTGTTAAAGGACATAGGAGAAATGCATTCAAGTACATTTAAAAGTCTTTAGGTTGTGCTGAACTAAATTCTACTCTTAGCAGATCCATTGAAGTTAGTGGGCATATGTTTTAACATTACTAGAGCTACTGTAAGCCTGAATATCTTTGACTGCAAATTTACTGGGGAATACCGTATTTTTTTGCTGTAGAAGACTCACTTTTTCCCTCCTAAAAAGTAAGGGGAAATGTATGTGCGTCTTATGGAGCGAATGCAGGCTGCGCAGCTATCCCAGAAGCCAGAACAGCGAGAGGGATTGCTGCTTTCACTGCGCAGCGATCCCTCTTGCTGTTCTGGCTTCTGAGATTCAGAATATTTTTTTTCTTGTTTTCCTCCTCCAAAAACTAGGTGCGTCTTGTGGTCTGGTGCGTCTTATAGAGCGAGAAATACGGTAAGTTCTGTTTAATTTAATTCAATGGAGATTACTTCGGAGTAGACACATATTGACTGTTAAGAGGTCTAAGAGCAATACACTGAGTTCATATCACAGACCACGCTTGGTTATGAAGAAATCTGGCAATTTCAGTTTCTTTCCATTTCTTATTTTTCCAGTCTTAAATCTGGTTTGCCCTATTCCTACAAACATTTAAAAAATATGAATTATAAAAGTCTTCATGAAAATTTGTATGAATTTTCATGGACATTTCTCCACACACACAAATTGTTATGCAATTTTGCCTAGTATAGGAATTTTTGTAAGCAGTTTCCCCTGTAATAAATATATTCCTAGATGCATTCAATTTTGAATGTGTTCACGTCTACTAAAATATGCATTATTATTTTTTAACATAATCTTTGGCTGGAGAACTGCATTACAAAATTCAGAGAAATGTGTATTTTGAAGGAGATCCATAGTTTGGTCTGCATATTTCTTTGGGAAGTGCAGGCTTGGTAAAGGTAAAAGTAAAGGGACCCCTGACCATTAGGTCCAGTCGTGACCGACTCTGGGGTTGTGGCGCTCATCTCGCTTTATTGGCCAAGGGAGCCAGCGTACAGCATGACTGAGCCACTTCTGGCGAACCAGAGCAGCGCACGGAAATGCCGTTTACCTTCCCACCGGAGCAGTACCTATTTATCTACTTGCATTTTGACGTGCTTTCGAACTGCTAGGTTGGCAGGAGCAGGGACTGAGCAACGGGAGCTCACCTAGTCGTGGGGATTCGAACTGCCGACCTTCTGATCGGCAAGTCCTAGGCTCTGTGGTTTAACCCACAGTGCCACCCGCGTCCCATGCAGGCTTGGTAGTTTTGCATTAAAATTAAAACCCTACCCTTGACATTTTAATCTCCCATTAACCCAGCATTCCCTTCCTATCGAAGTAGAACCATTTATACCCTGAAATAGGGATGGAGGAGAAATTCATTTCAGTCCACATTTAAAGGTGTAGCCATCAAATCCACACTTTTTGAAACAATACAAAAACTGAAGAACAGCCATCCTTCAAAATTCACACTTAACTGAATTTTGTGTTTTAGTTCTCCAACAGTATTTACAAAATGCATAAATTAGGGGGAAAGTGTGCATAAAAATGAAATATATTAATGAAGATTACATTAACAAATGCATTATATTAGGGAAATTGCTTGCAAAAATGTGTGCATTTGTCAAAACTGTGTACAAAAAAATGTGTTTATAGTGGGAATTCAAACCAAAATGCAAATGAATTTTCATTATGATTTTTAAAAAATCGTAAATTGCTTTTTAAAATTTCGGCTCGAATATTTTAAGCAGATGATTACCAAGCATTCTACCTCACTCTATGAATTTAAATAAATTCCCCACTTTACCTGGTAGTTGAGGTCTCTGACCTCTAGAACATTCGATTTGCCACTGTATGTGAAATAGAGGCTGTTATCCTCTTCCGAGCAAAAAATTCTGTCTTGAAATCTCTTATTTACCTGTATAGAAATCATAACCAAGATGTTATTTGCATAAAGCTTCCAATTATTTTAAAAACAAACAAGGGAAGGACAGTAAGTGTACATTCATCAGCTAAAGCCGTGTCTCGTGTAACAAACCAAGATGTTATAGCAGCTACACCAGTGTTTGGGGATTTTGATCCATTTGGGGATATGATCCACAAATTCATGGTTGTCTTTGGCTCTTTAATATGTACCCATGGTGTGTTCAGGGATACATTTGCTTTCCACTCTTTACAATGAATTCCCAATGTGCCTTAAGAAGCTGCACAGCTATGGTTGTACCATTTAAATCATGAATGGCATAGCATGAAACTGGCAACCCCAGCTGAGATATTTTCCAGTCTGCTTGTGTATTCGAATTGTTCTTTACTGTTATATTGCTGGTTGTTTGGCTCCTTTGGAAGGAACTGCAGGATAGAAATATAATAAACAAATTAAAACAATAACGTATCCTACAGGTCTTTCACCACTGTTCTATTCACTAATTCAATTTTTAATCTTTCAATTCAAGTATGACTTTTTAGTACATTGTATTTCTGAATTTTATTCCGTTTATGAGTCAGATTTTTGTTTTAAAAACTAAAACCACTTCCACTCTGCCACCCCTCCAAGTTCAGGTAGGTAGCCGTGTTGGTTTGACGCAGTCGAAATAAATTAAAAATTAACAAATTGTCCAGTAGCACATTAGAGACCAACTAAGTTTGTTCTGGGTATAAGTTTCGTGTGCATGCACACTTCTTCCCCTCCAAGTGTCAACCTTAAATTTCACTCACTTTCTCGGTCTCCTCTTCCCCCAGGGCAGGTTCCCGTTGAAAGTTTTCCATCCTTTCGTTCTCCACAGCAGTAACTTTTGCTCACCTCCTTTTCAACCGATTGTGTGTTTTCTCCTCTCACTCCAAGAAGGTAACCCAGAGTAACCTAAAACACCTGGACCACACCTACTTCTGAAATACTGTGCTTACTACTGTGCTATAGTAAGGGTAAAGGTTCATCAGATAATAATTATGGTTTGCCTATCACCTGCTACAGAAACATATTTTTTTATTATACATTGAAAAACTACAGAGGTTTCTCCTTTCGGCTAAGCACCTGTTGGGAGCCAGGGATTGGATGACCTGCAAAGGAAGGCCCCACCTTTTATGTTCCTAATTTGTGATTTAAAAACATGACTGGAGGCATCTATTGTAGTAATCCTGAAATTCATAAATTTGGCAGCTTGCAAGGTACATTATGTTCCCAATAAAAGTGTTACTTTATCTCCTTGGCAAAGCTCCCAGGAGCTGGTGGGGAAGAGACTGCGCCTGTGCAATTGTTGTTGAATTATATGGCACCAGTTGGAAAATGCCAGGACACTCAGGTTTTGTGAGCCAGTGTGGTGTAGTGCTTAGGAGCGGTGGACTCGTAATCTGGTGAACCAGGTTCGCTTCCCCGCTCCTCCACATGCAGCTGCTGGGTGACCTTGGGCTAGTCACACTTCTCTGAAGTCTCTCAGCCCCACTCACCTCACAGAGTGTTTGTTGTGGGGCAGGAAGGGAAAGGAGAATGTTAGCCGCTTTGAGACTCCTTAGGGTACTGATAAAGCAGGATATCAAATCCAAACTCTTCTCTTCTTCTTGCATGATGGATGGCGAGGGAGCAGCTGCAGTGACCTGCAACACCTGTGCCATGTTTGTCCTCCTGTCTGAGAACATGCAAAACTTCACCTACAACAAATGCAAACTGCTTGCCTTGCTGGAAGAGAAGGTACGGCAATGTGAGGCCCCTCTACCAATTTGTGGCAACATGAGGAAATTCTCACTAGACCAGAGTGGATTGTCCTGGAACAGAGATGCAGGCAGGGTGCCCCTAGGGAGGGAGGAAGATCACCCAATGCAGGAGATGAACCCCCTGAGGAACGTTACACAAGAAAGCAGGACTGTCAGGAGCCATGCTGTGTCTCTGGAGCTGCAAAATCAATTCCACGCCCTCACCTCGGACACCGATCCTTGGTCAGAAGAACAAGAACAGCAGCTGCGGACCTCAGAACACACCAAGATGGCAGTGGAAGGCACAGTGCACAGAACAATTCCTGCCACTCCCCAGGAAAGGAAGAGATGTCTAGTGGTGGCAGGTGTCTCACTTCAGAGACAGCAGTGTATGAAGGAATGTCTCATGCTTTCAGTTGTCTCTATACTGATGCACAGAGTATGGGAAAAAGAAAGAACAATTTGGGTGCTTAATAAAGGATGATAAATATGGCCTAACAGGCATTACTAAAACCAGGTGAGATGAGACTTATGAATGTAATGTAGAAATTGAGGGGTATAACCTGTTCAAAAGGAACAGACCAAACAGAAAGGGAGGAGGAGTAGCATTATATGTAAAGGATGTGTACATTTGTGAAGCGATCCATGACTTGGAGCATAGAAGGCAGATTGAGAGTATATGGGTATACATTGTAGGAGAGGGGAAATGACCTTCTTGCTATAGACTTCTAAGCCAGACTGAGAACTTGGATGATGCCCTCATACAGCAGATTACCAAACATTCAAGAAGGAGAGAGATAGTAGTAATAAGAGATTTCAACTACCCTGATATGTATTGGACTTAAACTCTGCCAAGAATAAAAACAAAAAAATTCCTTCCAGTAGCACCTTAAAGACCAACTAAGTTAGTTCTTGGTATGAGCTTTCGTGTGCATGCACACTTCTTCAGATACACACTTTGATGGACTTCCATTTCAATGTGGTGCCTTCCATAGTTCCAGTTACAGATAGGTAGCCGTGTTGGTCTGCCATAGTCAAAACAAAAAAATTCCTTCCAGTAGCACCTTAAAGACCAACTAAGTTAGTTCTTGGTATGAGCTTTCGTGTGCATGCACACTTCAGATACACGCTTCTTCAGATTCTGCCAAGAATGTAAGCCCCAACAAATTCCTCCATTGCCTTGCTGACAAATTCATTTCCCAGGAGGTAGAAGAAGCAAGAAGTGGCTCATTACTCTTGGACCTGGTCTTCACCAAAAGGGAAGAACTGATCAACATAGTGAAAGCACAGAGAACCTTGGGAGGAGATGATCATATTCTCTTGGGTTTCATTATAGAAAGGCAAGGGGAAATTGAGTGTAGTCAGACATTCATTCTGGACTTTAAGAAGGCTGATTGCAAAGAGCTAAAGGAACTACTGGTTGAGACGCCATGGTCAGAAATACTCAAAGGCAGTCAGAGATGGGTGGGAGTTTCTTAAATGTGAAATATTCCAACAAGAAACAAAATAGGAGGCACCAAAAGAAACTGGTATGGCTGCATAATATTACAGATGATATGAGATGTAAGAGTGGCATGTATAAGAAATGGAAGAAAGGAGAAATCACAAAGGAAAAGTATAGACACATAGCCAACAGTTTCAAGGAGAAGGTCTGAAGCTGAGAATGAGCTCAGGCTTGCAAGAGAAGTTAAAAACAATTTTTGTTTGTTTGGCTATGTGTGAAGCAAGAGGTAAAAAACAAGCAAGTATGAGGTTCCTTGAGTGGAGATGGAGAAATGCTATTGGGTGACAGAAAAAGGCGGAACAGCTCAACACCAACTTTGCCTCTGTCTTTACCCAAAAGGAAAGCAGTGCCCAACCTGGTGATAACAGAATACAGTGGTACCTCTGGTTAAGAACTTAATTCGTTCTGGAGGTCCATTCTTAACCTGAAACTGTTCTTAACCTGAGCTACCACTTTAGCTAATGGGGCCTCCTGCTGGCATCGCCACGTGATTTCTGTTCTCATCCTGAAGCAAAGTTCTTAACCCGAGGTACTATTTCTGGGTTAGTGGAGTCTGTAACCTTCTGTAACCTGAAGCGTCTGTCACCCGAGGTACCACTGTAAATGATGCAAGGAGGGAGCTGCAGCCCAAGATAGGAAAAGAGGTGGTAAGGGAACACCTAGCTCCTTTAAATGAATTCACATCTCCAGGGCCTGATGAGCTGCACTCAAGGGTACTAAAAGATCTCATGGGTGCAATCCCAGAGTCTCTAATCCTTGAGAATTCCTGGAGAACAGGTGAGGTCCCTGCAGACTGGAAAGAAGCACATAGAAAAGTATGCTGTGCTTAATAAGACCTGGCATTGGTTTCTCAAAAGCAAGGTGGGGATGTAGTTCAGGGTGCCTTTATGACTGCCAAATTACTGGCTCCAAGTAAACCAGGTGCTGAACCACAGGAACACACCTTACAGGCAACACAGAATAGCCTAAAACGCACTTGTTTCTGAAATACTGTGCTATAGTAAGGGTAAAGGTTCATCAGATAATAATTATGGTTGACCTATCATCTGCTACAGAAACATACATCTTTATTATACAATGAGAAGCAACAGAGCAGGGTCACAGAAAGTGAGAAGCTGCTTGTTATGAACGTTTACAGGGAAGTTGCTTTTTAATTTGTTTTAACTGGCTTACCAGTGACGGAGAGATCATTAGGAAAATCCTCCCGGCTATTAGGGTCTGCATGACGGAGATGGCAAAGAATAACCCAGGCTCACAGGATGAAGGCAGGCAGATGACTTCGATATCGCATGACAGTCTCAGTATCCTGAATGTTTCTTATGCAGTCAGGTAAGTAAATGGCAAGACCGATTAAGAAATTTGGTTTTTGTGTATTCCAGTATGAACTTTACCTGAACTATACCTCCCAGTATAACATGTAGATCAGAATGTTCCAGCACAGTTCTTGGTTCAACATTGCAGAAACCTTTTCGACACATGTCTCTCTTGAAAGCATGCAATTGAATGAATAATGATAATATTGCTTGTTGGACGAAAGCTCCCAAAGTGATATACAGGGAAATTTAAATGTATTTCTTTTTCACCTCCTTCAACTCCACCTATTAAATCTTGGCATAGCATTTTTCATGCAAGTTGCAAAACAAAGCATAAAGGGTTATGGAAGTTCCTGTCCACATAACATTTCATTTTTAGAATGAAAACGATATCCTTTGATTGTTTTCAAAACACTACTGTATTTTAATTCTTTCCAAAGTCATTTCACATGAGTTTCTCTCCCTTTCCCTCAAAGGGAACATGTGGGGCCCTGGTGGGATATCCGATCATATCGTAAGAAGTGGAACAGGCAGATTCTTAAAGATGTGTCATTTCATACGGAAAGTGGCCAGATCATGGGCATCTTAGGAAATTCTGGTGAGTAGTATATACAGTGGTACCTCGGGTTAAGTACTTAATTCATTCCAGAGGTCCATTCTTAACCTGAAACTGTTCTTAACCTGAAGCACCACTTTAGCTAATGGGGCCTCCTGCTGCTGCCGCGCCGCCAGAGCACGATTTCTGTTCTCATCCTGAAGCAAAGTTCTTAACCCGAGGTACTATTTCTGGGTTAGCAGAGTCTGTAACCTGAAGCGTATGTAACCTGAATCATATGTAACCTGAAGCATCTGTAACCCAAGATACCACTGTACAGCTGCATTTTAACCAAACACAGATATTTCTACATTAACTACAGCAAACACTTCAAAATTTACTTAACCATCCCTCCTCCCAGGAAACTCTGGGAACTGCAGCTCTGTGAGGAGAATTGGGGTCTCCTAACAACTCTCAGCACCTTTAAAAAACTACAGTTCCCAGGATTCTTTGGGAGAAGCCGTGACTGTTTAAAGCAGCATGATGCTGCTTTAAATGTATAGTGCATACTGTCCTGAGCTCCTTGGGCACGATAAAAATGCACTAGGCACATTCATATGACGACAACTTATGTAAGGGACTGAACTCAGTGTCCAGCTCCTTGAATGCTACCTTTAAGGTCGCTAATCCTCAGTCTGGTCTGGTCAATTTCAAATACAAACAGGGTATCACATACCAGCGGCACAGTTGCAGTTTTGGGGTTGGGACCATTCATCTTGTAAGTTTGCAAATTATCTATGTTAATGGAGGGAGAACCTACCCAAATCCATAAATTTAGTTAGATCATGTAATATATTTTAGGATATATAATTTGCTATTGTTTTCAGAGATTTCCCTTGATAATCTCTTGAAACTTTCCACTGACTTGCACAGCTGTCTTCCCCTCCCTCTGGCTTCTCCAGCCACTCACTCATCTGTAACAACAACAACAACAACATCTATATCTATCTATCTATCTATCTATCTATCTATCTATCTATCTATCTATCATCTATCTATCTATATCATCTATCTATCATCTATCATCTATCTATCATCTATCATCTATCTATCATCTATCTATCTATCTATCTATCTATCTATCTATCTATCTATCTATCTATCTATCTATCTATCTATCTATCATCTATCTATCTATCTATCTATATCATCTATCTATCATCTATCTATCTATCATCTATCTATCATCTATCTATCTATCTCTATCTATCTATCTATCTATCTATCTATCTATCTATCTATCATCATCATCTATCTATCATCTATCTATCTATCTATCATCTATCTTTGTTTCCTGCTTGGCAGGGGGTTGGACTACATGACCCTTGTGGTCTCTTCCAACTCTATGATTCTATGATTCTATGATTCTATCTATCATCTATCTATCTATCTATCTATCATCTATCTATCTATCTATCTATCTATCATCTATCTATCTATCATCTAGCTATCATTTATACCCTGCCCATCTGGCTGCGTTTTCCCAGCCACTCAGGGCAGCTCCCAACAGGATATTAAAAACACAATGAAGCATCAAACATTAAAAACTTCCCTAAACAGGGCTGCCTTCAGATGTCTTCTAAAAGTCAGATAGTTGTGTATTTCCTTGACATCTGATGGGAGGGTGTTCCACAGGGAGGGTGCCACTACCAAGAAGTTAGAGAACGAGATTTTGCTCTAGAAAACTGAATGATCAGGCATTCCTAAAATACGTTTATGAAATCTCGTTAAGTACCATTGGTACTATATTTTGAGAAATTTTTCTTTAAGATCTGCATAAATCAGTCTTGGTGAGTGTTTAGCCCATATCCAATGGCACAAGTTGTTTCAGGATATCTGGTATACTCCTGCGCCAACTTCACTTACTACCATATTTAATAGAAGTCAGGTTAATACAAATTTAGCTGTAGCAATGCAAGTGCCTGGCTATTTTTCTACAATGGGGGTGGAAAGACTTTAGGCTTACAGGCGCTCCTTTGCTTCTTACTAGAACCCACAACCAGAAACTAGTGCTAAAGACATACTGGTAATATACAGAATTAAAGAATTATGAGCACAGTTATTTGTTTTAAGTACAGTGGTACCTTGGGTTATGAACTTAATTCATTCCGGAGGTCCATTCTTAACCCAAAACCATTCTTAACCTGAAGTGCGCTTTCGCTAATGGGGCCTCCTGCTGCCACCGCTGCACAATTTCCGTTCTAATCCTGGGGCAAAGTCGTCAACCAGAGGTACTACTTCCAGGTTAGCAGAGTTTGTAACCCAAAGCATTTGTAACCCGAGGTACCATTGTACTGGAACTGAACAGAGCTCATAGTCCTTCTGGGCAAAAATCTGGTTTCTGTGCTTCAGGTGTGTAACCTAGGGCAGGAGATGTTGTTTTGTTGCTGCTGCTGTTAAATAATTGGGAGCCATAAAGCCTTGTCCATCAATGGGAAATCACCTTGAGATCTACCACTGGACCCAGATCCACCTTCAGCCCTTGCTTGCGGGGAACTTCATGCCCAGGGGCTGAAAGTCATCTTCTGTGTCTCTTAGTTCCAGCCTGTCATCCCCAGCTCACATGGGGTTCTGCCCTTCCTGTTCCTTCTTGCTACTTACCAAACCCAAGGACCAACCCACAACCTACATCCTTCCCTAAATTTGGCCTTTTGCCTCTGCCCACTAGTACCCAGGCCCACTCCCCCTTGCCTGGCAGCCTCGCCCTCTGATGGGCCATCACAGGCCTTTGTCTCCTGCTAATGGTCTATCCAGCTAGATCTGCCGAGCTGGCTTTGGCTTGTTAGCATAACTAAATCCAGGGGCATTCCATGTTTGGCAAAGTTTAATCAAACCTTGATTAATTCAAACTTTTACTAGATCCAGGAATTATGGGCTAGTTTGCCCTCCGCTCCCATTCATAACAATACTTATACTGAATTTTCCAATTTGCATTAGGATCGGGGAAAACAACTCTGTTGGATGCCATTGCTGGAAGGCTGAGCCATAAGACAAACTTTTCTGGGCAAGTTTATGTCAATGGACAGGAGCTGAAGCCAAAGCAGTTTCAGGACTGCTTTTCCTATGTTCTCCAGGTTGGTTTGTATTTGCATTTCTATAGGAGTCTCGGTCTTTCCCAGCCTTATCTGGGATTGTTCTGCCTGCAACACAGGAACTCTACTCAGTTGTCATCACCACATGGCTAAATTGACTGCATTTTCCCTTCTCTTTCAGAATGATACCTTGTTAAGCTACCTCACCATAGAAGAGTCTTTGACTTATACTGCCTTGCTAGCACTCCAGGAGCACTCCAGCAACTTTATAAAAAAGAAGGTCTGTACTGCAGTATAATGTTATGAAAAGTTAGCAGACTGAAGACAAGACTGTGATCCTCTCACAGTTAAGCCAACTTGAACAAAATAAATGATAATACCCCACATAACTATCACATGACACAGCACACACACAAACACACACCATTTGAGTGGCAATACCCATCAACTGGGGGGGGCCTGCTCCCTCAAATATTTTATTTGGGGGGCCGAAGGGACCTCGGCCCCTAGGAGTTGGCTCCTATGGTTAGGCTGTTTCAATCCTTTCCCTCAAAAGGCATAGTGGAACTGCTTCCCCACTAACCCCCCCCAAAAAAAAACTAAGTTCACAAGATATCATAGTGTTTTAGAGATATAGAGGTCCTTGGAGGCAAACTAATTCAACTTCCAGATCAGTGCAGGATCTGTGATTCTGGATCTCCAACCATAACACTCCCGAAAGACCATCCAGCCCCCAGTGAAGGAGGGCCTGCTGTTGGACCCAGAAACGTTACATGGTGTCAGAAGTGGAGAATGAGGAGTACGCTGCATGAACTGGTAGAGGTTTTCTGGCTGAAAGGCTACAAGCAGAAAGTAAGAAACTGTAAGGGAAAGCAATAAGGCTTATCCAACAACATCTGAAGGAACAGAGGTTTCGAGGTTGGTGGTTCGAATCCCCACGACGGGGGTGAGCTCCCGTTGCTCGGTCCCAGCTCCTGCTAACCTAGCAGTTCGAAAGCATGTCAAAGTGCAAGTAGATAAATAGGTACCGCTCCGGCGGGAAGGTAAACAGCGTTTCCATGCACTGCTCTGGCTCGCCAGAAGCAGCTTAGTTATGCTGGCCACATGACCCGGAAGCTGCAGACAAATGCCGACTCCCTCGGCCTATAGAGTAAGATGAGCGCCGCAATCCCAGAGTTGTCCACGACTGGACCTAACAGTCAGGGGTACCTTTACCTTTACTTTTATTCTACCTGCAGAGAATGCACTCTGTCAGTAAACTATAGATCCTGACTAAATTAAGTTGAGTAGCACAATGAAAAGCATTGAATCTGGGGCATTGGAAGACTTCCTGGGAATGATCCCCCCAAGAGCAACCCTGCCAAGAAAATATCCATGCTGGTCCCAGTGTGCGTAAAAGAATTCTGCATATTTTGGTTGTGAAGAATGATTATAATAATGCTTAGCATTTGTATGGTGCTTGAGATTGCTTAAAGCAGAATGGCTTAGCTGAACATTTAAAGCACTTAACAGACATTCTCTTGGTAATCTTTTTAGTACCTCTGAAAGATAAGTCAGTATTGTTATAGCCCCCTGTTTACAATGGTGGGGCTAACGGAGAGAAAACATGACCTACCTGGGCCACCTAGTGAATTGCTGGAGAGATTCAAATTGGGCCATCTTGGCTCATAACTTGCTTTAAAATTATGTCCCTGAAATCTGGACCATCTGAATGTGAATTCAAATAATAGCTTAGTGAATTAGCTACATGGAGTTGTACGATGGTATATTTCTATTTCGAAGACTATCCGGGAAGCTTATTTTGTGATCATTCTGAATTAGGACTTGCATTTTGTACAGCATATATATATATATATATATATA